AGCGTGGGCGGGAGGATCGCGCCCCTGACCCACGCACTCCGCTCCGCGTTGCCATGGTCACGGCCGATCGATGCGAGCTGGGATGCACCCGGAATTACATTTAATATCCACGTTCAAGGTTTCCTGTATCCACGAGTAAACGCAAGGTTGACTATTATGTCACATCTAGGCATCGTTAACTTGCTTAACTATTTAAATCTGTATTTTCGGCCAATAACAACAAGAATAATTTGTTGTTCTAACTTTACTTCAAAAAGGTAACTCACAGCAGCCGTGAAGAATACTGTTTAATCAAATCAACAGTATTTACAAACCTAAAAGTAGTAGTAATTATTTAAAAAGAATGTAGATTAGGAGACAAGATGTTTCGGTATGGACGTTACGCGTTTGTTTGTACACTGGGTCAACGCTCGCACGTTTAAAAATAAAGAGCTCCCCAAATCGTGCCACGTTCTCTGTTCAAACCCGTATTAAGTTTATAAAAACGGAGGATAAACAATTATTTATAAATAAAGCTGCTTTCATTGAAGAAAATAATGTTGCTATATGTATACATCTAATATATCTTGGACTTGTTGTCGTTGTTGAGCATGCTATATGAAATATATTCAACATAGTTTATAAAAATTAAAGTTATAAAAATATAAAAATTAAAGTAAAACTTACAAAATTAACAAGCTAATTATTAAAAAAAAAACTCTGATTGTGTGAAAACGTATACATATAATTTACAAAGCCATGTCTTAAAATTGTCATAAATCCAGCGTCACTCTCACAATTAAGACGTATCTAAAGATACATCAAACGCCAAAATATATCACGGTTTTTAGGCTACATACACACCTCCGTGGACAGAACCCTCCTGCAGTCGCAGTCGGTATACTTTTTCTACGGGTATAATGAATAAAGCACTCAGGCTATCCGTAACGTCATCCAGTTTGAATTATTATTATCTATTGCTAAAATTCCCTTATCTGGGTACTTCTAAAAGCAATTTCCCTTTGCTTTCATTGTCTTTCCTTGTTACCTACATAGCTTTCTTTTTCAACATACATTAGTATAGCAAATAACGTGAAGATGACCATTCGACAATACTTACAATATATTTAATCTTGAGGAACTCTAAAAATGTTTATAGTAATATTAGCAAACTTCACTATCTGACCACCTGTGTGAATATCTTACATTGGTATTGAATGCGCCTGCACGCACGTGGTTATTTATTTCGGACATTTGACGTATAACGCCAACGCTAAGGCGCCAAATATCCAAAAATCTTGTCCTAGTCAAGTTTGTAGCCCCAACAGTTTACGTTGATGAATCAGTCAGTAAGTTAGAGCAAGTAATTTTATACTATATATGTAGATTGTTGCAAATATATCAAGTAAAACTTTTTTGTTATTGTAATAACGACTACACGTTTCGAATTACTCATAAAATAATTTGCAAACAATACTAGCTAAACTAGTCTTCTCCGGATGATTTTAGGACCAGAAAAGGGTTGTGTAGTAAGCGAACCTTTGCTACTAGGAGAGCAGAATACGCAAGGCGATCGCTTGCTTACGTCGCTCGCCCTAGTGCAGCCGCCACACTGCACCACAAACGTGTTTTAGGACATAATTAAAAGATATTTGATAGATACAGGTTTAATATGAATGAATATTTAAATATACTAGAAATCACCTAGCGGTCGTATTTTGATCGTTTTATATGTCTTATTTTTTTTTCATTGTCCACCATTGCTCAAACTGTCATTGTATAGATCTTTTATACTGAAACGGGTCAAACAAAAAACTGAATCTCTATATTTTTATAAAATCTTCTAATAATGTCATCTACTTTTTTAATAGGGTTTTGAAATTAACATATGTTTTGTAAATAAGCTTGGCTAAAAACAATTTTTAAAGCTAATAAAAGGTGCAAGAAAGTGAAAATTAAGTTAGAATATTTACAACATTAACACTATCTACATACAAGCATCAAAAAATTCCTCCGCATCATCGCCTACTGGTAGCGTTCCCAGAAGACTGGCAGCATATTCACGTTGAATGGCAATGCTAATTCTCTGTGCTAGAAAAAGACCAGGCTTCTGATCACGAGAAGTGTCAATCAGTAGTTTAGTAGCTGTTTATATATAGTACGAGCACTTGGACCCCATGACCCTAAAGTTTCGACCCCAAACGGTTCAAAAATGTCGGGAGTCGAACCCGATGAGGTCTCGGGTACGATTCAAAGGTCAGGTACTACCTATGTACGCTACCTACTGCATCAACGAGGCAGTCGAATAACATATAATGGTAAAAAAAAAGTTTTTGGATGTCAAAAAAATAATAAGCATTAAGACATATATAATTTGCTGCTGTGAGCCATATTTGTTTAAAACTGGGTACAAAGAATTTCCTTCAGTATTAAACACAGCAATTTTCATAATGTTGAGTAAATATGTTTACATATAAATGTAACTTTTTTCAAGACAACTCCTGGCTTAGGCATATATCCTGTGTCACGGGGGACTTTACACACATACATGATACGGAAGCAAAGAACACCCAGACTCAGAACAACAACTTGTGGATCTTACAAAGTGTCGTCCCATGTGGGGATCGATCCCGCAACACTCAGCATAGTAGTAAGCGGCGTGGCGACCGTGCAGTCGAGTCATTTAGTTCATTCACATTGCAAATATTTTAATTGATGATCACGAACAAAAACAAATGACTTTGAAATTATTACCATATAGTTTTTTTCATGAGCTAATAATAACTATGAAAAAAAAGCAGTAAAAATAAAATAAGTAATTTTCAGTCCTTTTCTTGTAAGTAGCCTATGTAGGCAACATTTGTCCAACTTTCATTTTGTCAATATACATTCTCCTTAAGAATATGATATGAGGACCAAGAAAACATATATAGTACTACCACTACAAAGTATCACAGCCAATCGAAACCGTGAACGTATCGAAACCTATACAGACGTACACCTGCAATTTACACATTATCATTGCATTGAGACTGCCTGCACACATGCACGCTCTCTAGCTATCCTTATTACACTCACGGGCGTCTATATTTCTCTGAAAATGCATGCGAATGCATTGCGCCATTTTCTTGGCACGAATAACCTCTTCGTCTCCTCGGTTGCCCTAGTAGATAGCAGATAATGTCGGCGAACTTTGTGAGGTCTGGACGGAATTTGATACCTACTCGTAGAGCAGAATTTGTTATCATAATACTCGTTTATTTATAAAATTAATTATATTAGTTTTAAGTTTTTTTAGAAAATATTTTTCTTTTACTTACAAAACTGATTACATATATATTTTAGATCGAAATAAACCTTTCCACATCATAGAAAATAAAGACTTAAAGTTATTCAATCTAATAAACAATTTTAACACTTTTTAATTTTTATTTATACTTTACACAATAATACACAAATAAAATATTATTGATGTAACATAAACTTCAGACAGAGGATGAGGTTTGCGTAAAAAATAGATGCTATGTCGCAACTTGTTGTTCAGCGCACGATCGAGAATGCAGTTCAGTGCAACCAAGTACCAGGGCAACACATTTGTACAAGAGCTGTGAATGCACTTTTCTCTATATGAATAATGCATACATATATATTTGTATACATGTGATGGCGTACAAATGCGAATATTTATACGAGTCTCCTCTGTCAATGTCGATTTGTCTAACTATTTTAGGAAATATTCCGTGATACTGCTATTGATACAATAATCATAACTTTATAGCTAATCAGAACGTTAATCTAATTCTTTAATCAATTAGACATTGAAAAATACACATTTACGCGTAATAAACGTATATGCATTTATTTTTTGCAGTTACAGTGCAGCAATTTTGACTAAAAACAATGTACTTCTTTTGATTTTGCGTTTGTACTGTATATAATTTCATAAAATTAATATATCTTTTAACAATAATTTATTGAAACAAATCACTTCACCTACAAATAAAAGTAACTAACGAAATAGGCGGACTGGGTTAGACATTTTATATTTTTTACAAAAGACAACTCCCGCATAAGGAATATATCCTTAGACTTTAAAAATATACATAAAACGGACACAAAGAACACCCAGACTCAGAACAACAATTTGTGGATCACACAAAGTGTCATGTGGGGATCGGACCCAAACACTCAGCGTAGTAGGAAGCGGCGTGGCGACCACTTAAACCACTACGCCATCCGTGCAGTCAAGTGCTTGTTCTAAGCGACTGGTGTAATTAGGAGACTGATGCGTTTTTTCTGATTTTATTAGTTAACTTATCTTTTATGTTTGATACCTAACGTTAAAAAATAAAAACAGACAAACTTTTCCGTTAATAACATCGTTCGGCCTTCGTCGTGTCTAAAAAAAAAAGTTTTTTTTTAAACTTTGTATCTTAAACGATGTTTTTTTGTGTAGCTACCTAGCTATTAACAAAATTCATTGTTATCGATAATTTAATTATTTATAGTCAACTTTTGACCTCTATGCAACCACTAGTAGTTGTTAAACTGACATTTTATTTAAAGCATTACGATATTGGAATATGTCTATTCAACACGTATGCACAGGCATTTATCATTTGTTTTCTCTCCTTTCCCTATTAAAAATAACATTAACTAAGTTTTAATACCGATAAGATGTTTTCAATAACACCCACTGAATCGTAATGCCCAGATGTATACAACCCAATTCGATTGAGAAATCATAACACTCTCTTGTACAAATATTTTTCTTTATTGTCATTGAAGCACTTAATTATGTATTGTTATTGGGTCGGGTTTGGATATGGGAAAGTGTGAGAACCGATTTAACTTTGTTGATTGAATATAAACAACGACATTGATCTACAATATCTTTGAAATTTGTTTATAAAGACTATGCTTAATGTTTATTAAATGACACAAAATACTTGAAATAAATAGTGCTCTCGCTTTTACTCGTTTGCAAGTCGGGTATTACGCGAGACGCGTGGTAGTGAGCGTTAGACGTAATCGGCGTAGCTTTCTAAGCAGTGAAGGTGAGGTGCACGCTCCGCGCATTGCTCCCAGTTCAAGTTTAGAGTTGCTGGGATAATTGCTGAGATCGTTGCACTTCTAACGCCCTGTGCAGGGGCAATGAACGCACGCAGCTGCCCGGGAAATAGATCCCGTCCTATTTCAGAGCATGCTCGCTTAGTTAGATAGGGACGGCTCCCGTGCGTCGCCTTAGCTAACGAACTACCTGTAATGTGAGAACATGTCTTATAAAAAAACATCGCTCAATTGAATGAATAAATAGGATAAGAATTATCCTGTTGATCCATATTAAGTTAATTATGGCAGTTACTTTAAGAAGTAATATAAATTAAATTTTAAATCTGAATTTCCATTGAAGAGTTATACACACATAAAAGTTTTGTTTGGTAAAAGACTTAATTCTCCAACATAAACTAAAAACATTTCATTTAAATTAAAAATGCTGAAATATGTAACCTTCTGGTGTTTTTGTGAGTTTTTGAGATAACTTTAAATCATACCAGAATAAACAATCCATATGTATGGCCCACTTAGTAGAGCGAAGTTCATTGGGGCGTTGCACTTTCGGCGCGATTCAATAGTGGTGCGCCGGTGGCGACAACGGCGGCGCGGGCGCACTCCCGCCTGCGAAAGTGATTCATAATGTGATCTGAGTGGTGCTGTATACTCGTATTCTATTGTTTGCATTCGCCATTAATATTTTATAATGGTTCAGATCTTTTTTAAACGTGATACACATATTAAAATATTTATATAAGCCAATTAAAATGCTCAAAAACTTGAGGAAAAGTAGTTTGAAAGTAAGCTGTTTAGAATACATAATACTTTGCTGACGTCCACTATAATGTGTCTATAATAAAATGTTGGAAGCAAGTGGAATTTAAATGTTTAAAATAGGGTTTGCAAATTAGCGCGGGTAGAGTTTGGCGGTCCGTGGCGGCTATTGGTGACATCTGTCCAAACTTTTGTTTATTATTTAGTTACTTATGACAAATCACCATGGCAAGTTACACGATTGAACAGCACGTTAAAATGATAAAACTTTGTTATCAAAATAAGTGTTCGTTCGTGCAAACGCTGCGCGCATTGCACCCATTTTGCGGTAGACGTGGGGGCCCTTCACACTCGACTCTTCAACGTTTGGTTTCTAAATTTGAGACGACCGGTTCGGTAGTCAATCAACCGACACCCGTAAGTTCAAGAAACGCAAGATCGACCTAGAACATCCCCGCGATCCGTGAAAGTGTACAGCAGAATCCGAGTCAGTCGATTCCTCGCCAAGACTCAGACAAGAACTCGGCCTATAGCAGACTTCAATTTGGCGAATTTACCCTGGCTGACATCTGTTTTTTTTCCTCCCTCCTATTTCAGGCGCAAAGTAGCAAACCGTATGGTTTTAGTCGGTAGGATTCTAACACACCACCCCATCGCAAGTCCCAGTGGGGTGACGGCCCAAGGGGATTTCCACACGTAAAAACAAGGCAGTAATGCTAGTACAACTAAAGCAAAGCCAATAATTTACGCTAATTGATAAAAAAACCGAAACGTATAAAGCCCTTTTTAATTTATTAAAATCTCGTAAGGCCGATAACGAGTATAGAAGATGTTGACGGCGGTATGAGTCACAGAGGGGACCGCGGGCCACCAGAGACTGGAGACCTCTGGTGCAGATTAATTACTTCTGTAGGGAATATGTAGGAGGCCTGATTGGCCTCAACATGTAGTAAAGCCTCTTGTTCTCCTTGCTATAAGGCCTAATTCACTCAATCACTTGGACCGGAGTAGGGCCTTCAGGGTGGTTTTTAGTAGAAACACCACATACGAGGGCGTGGGTATTGGCTGTCCCGGAAAACCGTTCAACCCACTAAACATCACGGCGGTCTACTCTGGCAGTCGAGAGGAGTTCCAGGAACGCATCGGCGACTTCTGGTGTCGTTCGATCTGTCCGACCAGGACTCGACGCTCTGACTCCCATACAGGGCAGCCCTCCAGAGGGTTCTGTAAGGAGTGTTGAGCCGTTACCTCACATTAGTCCTCCGTCAGTTAATATTCAAATACGTGCCCGGTGAGTATCTAAAAATCGGTAGGTGACACAGCCGTTCCTCTCTATCCACGCTTTGAAGCTCGGCAGAACGGCTTCAACGGCTCTAGTAAAATGAATTTCAAGCCGTGTCTGCCATGCCATTCCAACCGTCACAGAGAACTTGGTCGTAGACCACTGCTTCCATGTCGGCCAGAACGTCAGAGGGCGGAGATCGCGCCAGGACCGTCGACGCATCATACGAGATCTAACGGTAGCCTCGTACCATCCGTATGGCCATTAGCCGCTGCAGGTTCCTGAGTAAAACCTTGAAGCGAAAGGCACCCACCATTAGACCAGACTGGTGCCTCGAGATTGGGCAGCAGGCGATTCAGCACACCTGCTACCTCTCGCACTCGTGGGAATAATAGCCCGAAATGCTCTTTGATGCTCCACTGACCAGGATGAGGCCTAGGTACTTCATGTACCAGGCCGACCTGGACTTCAGTCTTCACCTACCTGGCGTGAACTAGGTGGCGCTGGCGCTTACTTAGGCTATGGAACCATATCGCCTCAGTTTTCTGAGGTGCCACCCTCAGTCTCAACTCACGAATCTTTAACACAACACATACCACCCCTTGCTCGACGAGCCGATGCACCGAAGCATAGCAGACGACACTTAGGCTAGAGAGCAGAGTGGTGCGAAGTGATCCGAAAGGAGTGTCCCCCCCTCACAAAAAAAAGTACACATATTAAATACCAATCAATGATCTATTTTTCTTAATTTTTCCCCAGCCCTAAGTAAATGCTGGGTACGCTCATGCTGAAGGTCCTGATCAGGATAATGGTGCAAAGTATTTAAATTTTTGCATTGTCATCAGTCCTTAATTAGTGTTCAAAAGTTTTAATTTAATTCAAAATCAAAATCACGTTCGAAGATTCCGTTACACATATGTAGATACATACATAGACACATACCAAGCCAATAAAAGCGTGTTATAATCACAATTGTCATGCATTTTTTTATGTTTATCATTTCGTAACATTAGTAAAACAATTTCTTTAGAAAAGAAACGAAGAGAAAATTCCAAGCCTCCCTAGGCTACGGTAACCGCTTTCCATCAGGCGGGATGCATGCTTCTTTGCAACAGGTGTGGTATAAATAAACTTAAATTGAAACTATCTTCAAGTCAAGTTCCTGCACCTTTAGACAAGTTACAACTTAGAGACTAGCTCGGTGAACATATAAATTATAAAAGTGGTTTGAGCAGCGAGTTGGGAATGTTAGCAACAAAAAAAACTTGCAATGTTAGAAGTATCTAAGCAAGTCGGGTGCACTGGCCGAGCAGTGCCAGTGACCTGCAAGTGAACGCGGTGTGTTCGACGAATGTACTAGAAAATTCGTAGCCGACCGCTACATGACTGCTACGCGCGTAGATCACGCCCCAGGACTTTTCAAAGAAAACGCTTACTTTATAGGCACACTTGTATTTTCATGACTAGTTGATATTTTATGTTATCGGAGAAAAAGGGAAGGTTAAGTGATTAAGCCCAATGTAAAAGTAAACAATTCATGGAAATACGATGTGTCACCCTGTTTTCCTCAAGGGAGAGAATATGATGTAGCCTGATCGATATTGGAAATCCCTATGGTGCCGAATTCATGATGACTCAGTGTGTTTGTAGCTTAGCTAAAGAACAAATTCTGTTTTGAACTTCTTTACGTGTATTTATTCTAAGTTATTCACTACAGTCACAGTATCTAAATCATGATCATCTTAAACTTTTAAGTTAAACACCATTAAACACAAACTATGAAATGGCTATAATTTTCTCGAACCTACATCCATGAGGCGGGGTGATAGGGCTCTCCCTATTCAATAAGAGTAAGTAAGTTTAATAAAGAATCTAATTTCATTATGCATTTTAACATTTATATTTAAAGGAATGCAGTTGTTTCACTATTAAATTTATAATTGGCTTGTATTAATTTGGTTTTATGACCATTGTATGCGTGTGCATGTGCTAGCCTAGTCATGGTATAATTCTTACTAGCTAAAATATTCTTCGTCCGTGTAGTGACTGATTAAGAATAAAGAGTGTCCACTCTTTTTTATCCCGTGGGTGTCGTAAGAGCCGACCAAGAGAGCCGAACTACTTAGGACAACAGCATTACAAAGAGAAGGAAAACTTGGCATAAACCCTACACCAACCCGTCTGGCCAGTGTGGTGTAATAGGCCAAAACATCCTTCTAAGGAACCTACTCTGGAAACAACTGAAATGTATCTACATAGTTTAAACTAAATGGTGGTCTTGAAATACTTAGTGTTTACACATTCAATACATTAAATGTATGACGAATTCAGACTGACTTATAATACAGGAGGTATTGGGACCTGCTGGCGTCAATGTACGGACATGACCGAAGCGACACTTCTTATTCTACTGGTCGTTCACAATTGAAGGACAAGTTGATTTTTCCAACATAATGATCACTCGGAAGTGTGGAATCTGGCTATGCAATAAATCAGCCATGAAGTAAATTACCTACAACAGGAAAAAACTGTTAACAACTATTATCGTTTTGCCATTACTATAACGCAAAAAACTTAGACGACAGTCTGTATAATAGATACTCGGAGTGGAAAGTGTGAGTGAAATTGTGCAGCAAATCGATACCGCCATGAGCTGTATATCACAACCGGCAATAGCATACTATTAGTACCAACAAGTGTCTAATTAACCATTCGGAAAACCTGTCCCAAGTTGTACCGGTAATTGCTGCCCTACAACTTACGTGCAATGGTGTTTGTCATTACTCCATTTTTTTACTTTTATTTACTCTCCCTGTTCTTATTGATACGTCACTCATCCTTTGTCGATTACATAATATGTATTTATTGTAGTAGCATCTAAACAAATTAAACCATGAATCTCATGATGGTTGGATTAGTTTAATGACTAACTTACCTATATATGTGTGTAGTATATTTCGTTTTATTGTGATGCTCAATCGGTCACCACATCGCATTAAATCTTCTGAATGAGCGCATTGTGATTGTTATTTGTGTGATCGGTTTAAATATTTGAATCACGTATGTATGGTTGTCGCAGCAAAGATGATAATGAAGCTATGTAGAGATATCATTGTGCGCGGACTCGAAGAGCGGTGTGCGGACGGCGCTGATATTTTTTGTAGTAGGTTGCGACTTGCGAGCTCGCATACTGGATGCACGACCCGTAGTCGCTCGGGTGCACGGGCTCGCAGACGCGTCGCGCGGCCGACGACCCGCCCCTGTGTGCCTGGCGCTTGACCTCAACGCACCCGCCTTTCACACCACCCTGGGAAATCTATTCAACGTTAAAACTAATAATCACTTGTTTTCAAAAGTTTTATTGTATACACTTAAAAATATATTAATAAATAATTAAATTTAATTTATTTTTGATAGCTTAACACTAAAACTATTCATAAATTTTTATTTAGCTTCAGATCAATATTATTTTTTATTTACAATATTATCTTAGCAACAGTATTTAAATCGTGACGTATAAAGTTAATGGAAGTCAGTGAAAATAGTCATTTAACTTATACTTGAAATAACAACTTATATATTAAATGAATTAAGCTGAAAATCTTAGTTCTCCGTAGTATCAAAATGTTTC